TCTCTCTCTCTCTCTCTCTCTCTCTCTCCCCCTCGTCACAGCTCCGCCCGTCCCGGTTTCCTCAACAACAAATCGCGCCCTGGTGGCGCAGGCACTGCAGCAGCAGCAGCAGCAGCAGCGCCACGCAATTTCCTGAGCAGATTTTGGTACGAAGAGGTGGTGGCGCTGGACAAGCGGGCTGGAAATTTGGCATTGGCTTTTGGAGTGGGCGTTTTTGGTGCGGGTGTGAGCATCATCAGAGTGTTTGGAATGGATTTGTTGGTGCCCGTATTTTGAACGCTGCAGAGGGAGGCGTGGGGGGGGCCGGCCGATAAGATGGCATGTGGATGTGGGCATTTGAATGAAATGTCATTTGTTTGTTTCTCCTTTTTGCGAATGACTTTTGTAATGGTGTGGAGGGGGGGCTTTTGTGGCAGGTGTTGCAGTGAGAGGTTTTGAGAGAGGGCAAGTACAGCTGGAAGGTGAGAGTGGGGTGAGAGATGTGGCAGGAATGGGGCGTGAGGGAATGAATGCGTGTAGGTCGGCTGGGCTGGGCTGGATGGGTACGGGATGACCAGTGAAGAGTGGAAGCTAGGAAAGGTGTGGGCGGGAAGAGGGGTTGATTGGAGATGGATGTGGGGCAAAGGAAGGAGGAAGGATGAATCTGAATGGAAGCGCAATCAATCAGCAACAATCACATCACGTGAATGGATTGGGCAGCGCAACTTTGATTTGCCATTCGTGATTGCGCACTTCTTTCCCCCGCCTTGACTTCGCCCGCGCTTGGCTTGCCACTCGTCAGGATGAGCTCAAGTGACGAGCAGACATGCACTTGCGAGAATGGACATGTGCATACCGTACCGCATTGAACTTTGGTATGGTAGAAGCAAGCAAAGAAGCCTTTCATCCATTTCTGCAACGAAATCAAATGCAGCATTCTGCTCAGCACAGCACGGCACGGCGCATCTGTATGCTCGCTGCAAAGTTCAACTTTCTCTTGATTGATTGGAAATGTCAAGGTGAACAATTGTAGCGACAGCTTCGACAGCTTCGACAGCGACGAGGTGTAACACTTTCCCCCATCAAGCTCCTCTCTCCCGCCTTTGCACCCCCATACTACACCATCCGATCTCCACTCTTTGATCGATTAGAACTCAAATATTCCTTTCTTCTCTTCGTCATCGCTTCTTCTGATGTGCTTCGGGCGCGGTGCGGTGCGGTGCGGTGCAGTGCAGTGCGATGCGCAAAGGGGGTTGCCAAAGAAGGCTCTTGGGTCAGTCTGCAGTCAGTAGCAGCACTTCGCATGCATAGAGCCAAGCCTCGCCAAAGTCGCACAGGCACAGGTTCAAGAAAGGGAGAGCGCACACACGAACAAGTGCCTTCCTTGGACCATTATGCAAGGCTTGGCAGCATCGACATCGACACGCAGGCGTGAATGCGGGCGCGTACTTACTATTCTGCTAAACAGCTTCTCAACGCTTTGTGATGGTCCCTGCACGCCCAAGCCATACTGATCGTCCTTCCAGAGCTACACTCTGCAAAGGCTATCATGTCGCCAATCACGCATCGAAGGAACGTTGGAGGAGACCAGCATGAGCACGAGTAATGAAGGTCCAAGCTCGAGGCGAAGGCATGCCATTCTCCCCCCCCTCCTTTCCCTGCATCCCCCCTTTCCCCCACCACAAAACCCCCACAATTCACGAATCCTACTCACCTCGAAGCACATCGTCGCATTTTTTCAGACCTTCCGCTTTGGCGCTCTTTAATAGCGCGTCCGATTCTCGATTGGACAGAGCGTGGGACATGCTATCGAACATCTGCGCTTGCGTTTCATGCGACATGATCCCCTTTCCGACTGTGACTTGGCTTGCTGGCAGAGTGGGTCAGCCGATGCCGGATGGGTCGGGATGGAGCGATGGAGCGATGAATGCGCTGAAGAGTCCGCTGCGATCCAATGAACCCCGAGCCGCTTGCTATCGAGTTCAGAACGTTGAGTCGGGCGTGTGGTGGAGTGAGATGCGAGCGGGCTATGAGTGACCACGCGGTAACTTTGGATCACCCCAAGCAAGGGCCTGTGAAGCTCGATTGTGAGGTGCGGTGCGGTGCGGTGCGAGTGTTGGGTAGTGAGTAGGAGCGGTGAGGATGGGTGGGTGCGTGCGTGCGTGGGTGCGTGCGTGCGACCGTATCAAAGAGTCAATCAGACTTGTGAGCCAAAGGGAAGGGGAAGCATGCAAGATCGGAGTTGATCATTCAGATCGTGATTCAACGAGACACAACAGGTGCAAGCAAGCTCTGTATTCGTGATTGAAAGGAAGGGGCCCGAGAGTCAAGTCCGTGAGCAAACGGAAGGTATTTATGGCTGCTGACCTGATGAAGGATTCTGATCACGTGGTTCATCGCGACATCCGAAATGCTTTGTTCAAATTCGTGATTCAAGATTGATCTTTTGCGACGCACGATGTGTTGTTAGTTCGAGTTACAAACAACATTGTGATTTGCAATCGTGAATCTTGACTCGCGCATCCCAACTTGAGAGTCGTGACTCGTGAGTCGAGATCGCTGTACTGTATATGCATTCGATTGCTTCGATGACGATTCTCGGCAGCTGGCGTGCCATTCCCCCACCACCTTACCACTAGCTCCGCATTCGCCACTTGACTTGACGATTGGGCGGTGCGGACAGTTGAATGCGAAAGATTTTCGACTCGAATTCTCCATACACTTGGTTACCTACATACACCCTGCTCAATATCGCGCATACACAGCGTCGAAGGGTGGCCGACCGAACAGAACTCGCGGGTCGTTGCAATTTCGATCAACTTTACAGATCGCCGATGCAAGAGCTGCGTAGTCGCCGCTCAGACTTGTTATGATGGCCTCGCCAAGCGGTAGCGGTGGAGGGAGAGCTAGCGAGAGCAAGAGTCAAACGTCCACTCCAATTCCTGCTCCCGCACAAGCCTTGCAAGCCATCTTTCCCCCACCCGCCGCAGTCCACAAACACTTCACACTTTCCAACTTGCGCAAGTTCAAAGTGCTTTGCGAATATCATCATGCTCGTCCAGAGCTGGATAGATGGGCGAGATTGGAACCGAGTGAGAGACTGGTCCAGCAGAAAGAAGTGTTGCGCATGAATGCGGAGAGCAATGAAGCAGCGACGAGAGCGTTGGAGGGAGAGGAGGAGCAGGGCGGAAGGTCACGAGCGCAGGAACAAGATGAGGAGATCGATTTATTGGCACAATTGGATCCCCCCAGATTGGACTGGATCGAGCAGGATGGGCATTATTGGTGTTGGGGACAATTCGTACACGTGAGTACCTTTTTTTTTTGCTTTGCAACTTGGGGGCCCCGGATCGTATCACAAGAGTAGAAAAAGACCCGCTCTTCTGCACCATGGGGGCGTCCAAGAATGCCCGGTGGAGGTATGGCGCAACGACCTTGTCTCGATTGTTCAGATGACGATCGAGGCTCAGCTTCGCTCAAGTACTACGTTCATGCACACCCTACTAGTCCGCTGTATTTGGTTGTTATTTCGCAGAGTGCGCAATTGCACCGTCGCACGTGCATGCTGACCGCTTTGCAACTTTGCACCTCCTTGCACGTCGCAGATCCAGCCTGCTAAACCCACCTTGGAAGGCACGGGCGTGCCCAAGCTATATGTCGAACCAGTAGGTGCGTATGAAGGGCGATTGAAAACCCAGCAGGGGCGAAGATCTGGAGCGTGCATCGCAGTCGCGATCGCGTGTCCAGGT